CGCTGATCCCATTCGGCGCAAATGGGTTTCCCAACTGGCGCCATCACCTATTCCACCGAAATCGTCAACTACTTGCATAACAGAGTTGTTTGATGCCCTGATCACGAATATGGTATTGAGTTTTTGTGGTGCCTGCGCTATTTAGCGTTCTACTAACGCTGAGCCTGGGAGGAGAATGTTTCCCTTCCATGTTCAGCCTTAGCCGAGTGCGGATAGTCAAAGCGTCCTACATTAGAGCTGGGAGCGGAAGCGAATGTCGTATTCGTAATCAGGATGCCAAATAACCATGGTATGGAAGTTTACACAATTCTTAGCGGAAAAGGTTATCTCGCCAAGTGGCGCCAGCGCTAGAATGGATATTGCATTCATGACTAGGGCGCAGAATAACCTCTATTGGCGATGTTTCAGCAAAACAATTTTGACTTTTTGGAGTCATAATAGTGGAATGGTGTCGGAACTAGTTTCTGCAAGAGATAACCATCTTTCTGTATAGTCAGAAAAAAAAGAAGAAAAAGATGTACGGGTCCAAATGAATTTTAGCCGTCTTGGCTAGTTGTTTTCGGAGACCATATCAAGGTTAATACGCACAAATAGTGAACGGGGATTGTGGCATAAGCTGTCATGTCATAGTGAATATCAGTGAATAAGGAAATTTTCGCATTTTATTTTCTTCTTTATTTGTTTTTCTATTTCATCAGCCTTACTTCTGTTCCATCTAACTGTTCAATACGTGATAGTTTTTTTCAAAATTATACTTTGCCTGAAAGACGGAACGCTCTGCCAACTCGTTCCATCCCGCTTGGTAGAATCAGTAGTTCTATAGATAGCATACTTATGTACTTCCCCTGGGACATTATCTTTTGTTGATTTGAGGAGACCAAAACGGAGTGACGAGTTGAGAAAGCAGTGTTCCTGGCACTCCCTCCGTTTTTGCTTATAATTAGAGAGCTGACCTCTGAGAAGCCCAGTTATGAATTCATTCAGACGTCGCTACGCATGGTTCCCTGCTCGGTAAGAGTTCTTGGATCTGACAGAACAGAATTTGTGGCTTGGTACCCGAGATTGGACAAGGAAGTTCTAGTGTTGCCACGGTACAACAGCTGCCCGCCTCTTTTCGAGAAGTAGTGGAAGTTTGAAGCGGGACACTTCGCGGTCTGAGTTACAACCTAGTCCAAAGGTGGTGGGAAAGCATCACACAATTGGTCTTTATGAGCAGCCGCCAAACTCGGAGCATGAAGGGTGAACCTTCGTGCGCAAAATCGTGAAGCTTCTTGCGTCCAAGTCAGTGATTCGGAAGTGAAAAAGGGAGAATGAAGAAAGAAAAAAGTGTCAGTTACGCGGGGTTGACACCCTATATAGGACTAGAGAAGGGATTCCGAATGCGACTTGCTTGACGGCTTCCTGATCCGTTCTAGCCATCCGATTGATCTGCTAAGGTACGGCATTTTCACCTTTTCAGTATTCACGTGATTAGGAGGATTTAACGAACGTCTTGTAGGGGTATGAGTTATCTGGCCCAAGGATCGGCTTCCATTACTTTAGGCTCCGAAGAAAGTGCACTCATCAGAACTAAACAAACGCTAAACCTAGTTCTAAGACCATCCCTAGAAAGGAATGCTCAGTGTCAGGGGAAATTACGAAGGAATGTTTTACTAGAATTTGCTAGCAAACTCCACTGTTACGGTCAGGGTCTAGTGCACTAGACTGGATTACGTCATCGCAGTCCCATGTTGAAAACGGGACAAGGTCTACTTTCTCCACGACAATGCTTTCCATACGCTACGAAAGGGGTATGTGGCAAGAGAATCGTAATTCGCCGCACCAAGTGGGGCGTTGCGTGTGACGTC